GTCTAAAATGAAGCTTAGGAGTTGTTCCAAAATGTATGTGTGAATTTTCCTTCTCAAGGAGTTGTTCCAAAATGAAGGCATGAAACTATGTATTTGCTGAGATGCATGATTAATGGGTATGAATCAGCTGATCCACCATAGACTGTCAGGGGCTTACCATACTACCTGATACTGAAATGGAAAAACCTTTGGAGACTGGCTAAATGTTCAAACCCACAAAACCACTACGGGATAATAAAACTAACAAAAATTATAAGTGAATAAATAACTGCAACTTCTCTGATGGAGGTGCACCAAAACGTGAAAGCAATTTCTGATTTAAAGCTTAAAGATATTGAACCGGTAGCATGTTGAAGAAAGTGGCAGATAGAGCACTGATGAACAGATACCTGTATCGGTTATGTCGGATTGAATATATATGTATATATATACACATTCCCTGCCCAAACTGTACATCACAAAGAATGATGGCATTCCTAACAAAAGGAAAAACATCTTGGTTACATGTGGGAACGTTGGAGTAATATTAATTGACGTATGACTTAAAAGTTTAATTAGATTTATGCTGAACCTTACTATTGGTAGATAAATAATTCAAAATGAAAGTTAAATATATTTATCATTTTTATTTACCATGATATACAATCTTTGATTTTAACAAATGACATGATTTGATGTATTGTTATTATTTGATTCTTTTTTTTCTTTAAAAAAGAAATAGATATTTCATTGATGAATGAAATATACAAATGAGGCGCAAGAGGTCCCAAAGCCGTAAGGTGGGTTGCAAAATAACTTCCACTTGGCCAAAAATTGATAGGTTTAATAATCCGAAAATGGGCATTTTTCATTTACAAGATAGAGTTAAGAATAGAACTGAGTTTCAGAAAGTGTAGAGACCACGGGCTTGTTGGATATGCGATTCTCTAGGCCTTGGTTGGAAAAATCTGTATGTCAAAAGTGAATGGTGGGAATTTTTAACAATTAATCATTCACTTGAGCCTTTAGTATTGAATTTGTCTACTGCTTGCCTGGTTTTTCTCTCCAAGTTATTATCATATCTTGTGTTTGATAGGTACTTAGTGTTTACTTGTTACTTGAAAATATATATCTAAGTCATCTCTCTCTTATACACATTAAACACCAGATGAAGTTTACAATTGGTTCAATTTTCAGTTTTTATGCAACTCAATAATTGACATGGCGATTGTTTCATCCTGTTCTCAATATAAAACAGCTATACCCGAATCAAGGTTCCTGTGAAAAGTCGTTCTTGTAAACATCTTCAGGTGAGCATTTCCTGCCATGGCATCTGGAAGGTGTTGATGTACCTTGAATCATAGCAGGATCGTTGTAAATCTTTTCCAGATACTTAATCATTTCTGACAAGAAAATTAGGCAACAAAAAGTTATGCCAATAGTTTACTTAATTAGGTAGGCAACTGTAGCATGCGCCTTGGCACTCTACATATGTATTCAGTTCTTTTGCTAGACTTTCTTTTAGTTCATATGAATTTACTGTATGTTATTATCTTGGAAGTTTTCTTTAGGTTTAATATCTGTCTTTCTGTATGTTGCAGTGCTTTGATTTCTACAACTTTATTGGCATAAATTCAAGAAGACCATCCTGGCGATGTCCACATTGTAATCAGTACATTTGCTTTTTGGATATTCGTGTTGATCAAAATATGTTGAAGGCAAGTATAGTGGTAGACCATTTCTTAATTTCTTGTGTATTTCCGAACTTTATTGCTTTATTCCATTTTATGAATCCATTGTATTTCCTTTAGGTCATTAGAGAAGTGGCTGAGAACGTTACTGAAGTGATTATATCAGCAGATGGATCATGGAAGGCCATACTTGATAATGGGGATGGTCGGCCATTGGATGATTCTCTTAACCTTCAGAATGAAAGGGATCAAGAGTCTACTGTTCCTGTTGTGTTAGATCTTATTGAAGTTGATGATGATATTAACATCTGCGATTTGGAGATTGAAGACGAAAAACCTTGTATTGGTAACAAAAACTTTGCGGCTGTCTTGGACGATGACTTTTGGTCTGGAATAGATACTGATAGGATTTTAACCTCAAGTGCTAGGACAGATGCTCCAATTGGTAATAACCCGCCTGCACCTAATTTTGCTGGCCTTATGCAATCGGCTGTCTTGACTAATCCTGTTACACCTGTCCTTAATAACCATGGTGCGGGGGTTCCAGGGCATGTCATCTTTTCGTCTCCTGCATTGTATGATCAAAATAATTTGCAGAGTCAAGCTTTGAATTCAAATGAAAACAGTGAGTACGGGAGGACGACATCAATAGCGAGACCCCTAAGCAGGATGCCGACTACAGCTCAAGCCCTTCCTTCTCTGTCCCAAGCATCAGGTCAGCAGTATAGTTCAAGAACAACAACCATTTCCTCAGCTCCTCAAGTCGGACCAAGTATTCCAACTAACAGAGATGGTTTAAATACGATATCTCGTGATTCAGAAAGGAGCCAACAATTTCCGAGACGTCCTGGAGATTCACATCATGCAACAAACCTAGCTCCCTTTCACCACCCACCAACCTTGCAGGTGCGATTTTATCTTGTTTCCATGATCTTTCACGTGTTAATTTGTTTTGATGTTGTTTTTTTCCCAATGACCATGACTTTTGGTGGAGTATGCTAACTTTTCTTACATTTAAATCTTTTGGTGGAGTATGTTAACCTTTAATTTATTTACTTAAACTCCCAGAATTGGGATCCTCTGGATCATTCCTTCACTCCTGGTCAATCTGTTCAAGCATCGACTGCTTTAAGGCCATCCAGGGGGCTATTAACAGATTTCCAGAATCCTCACCTTCAGCAAGCGCTCAATTTAAGGATGTCCCAACTCCGGAATCAGAATCCAAGCAATAATGTCCGGCCATCATTACCATTCTCAAGAGCTATGAGTCAAGTAGGAGGTGGCTATAGTGGACCTTCTTATGCGGCTGTAACACCTAATAGTCAAAATGCAAGAATGATGGTTGCTTCCCAGCGAGCTGAGCTGATGAGACAATCTTCAGCTATGTCGTTACAAAATCAAACTTTCAGATCAGCCCATTCTCTCCAAACAACTCCTGATGGGCTTAGGATGCCAACTGCTGGGGAGCTGAGAAATGTTGGAGGAATGTCTCAATCTGTTACCCCGGCTGCGGGTTTGGTAGAGCCATCATCAGAGCAGAACTGGCAGCCCTCAGGTCGAATGCGTGGCAGTCTTTCTGGTCGAGCCTTTTCTGATGCCCATGGCCACTTAATTATCCACCCAACTCAACCTGTACAGTCTGCTCGACCTCCATCTAACTCGACTCCTACTCAACCCAGTGCTCCATCCACGCAGGCTCTGGGCCCCAATGGATTGGATACACTGGTTCCAAGGACAAGATAATACATGTTGAAGAAATTCCTTGCTCTTACAAGTATTGAATGTATGCCCAGGTGTTCTTCCGTTACCTTTGGCTCTTTTGTCACGTGAGTAAAGATATACCACGACCCATTTTGTCCATTGCATATCAGTTGTAAAGTCTTTCATGTAATTAGCTTCCATTACAGTATAAAACATGGGTATAGATTTTTTCGTGGAGCGTGAAGATTTGAACTTCACGTGCCATATATCCAGTAAAGCTATGCTTAGGTTGCTGTAGTTTTATTGGTCATAAATCATAATATGTTACGAGCCTAAAAATTTAAAGTTTGCATGATTCTTTGGTAATTCTATTTGGTTTTTGTACTCATGTCTATTTAATCTCTTAGCTTTTTTTTCTACTTCCTCCGTTATTAACGCCTCAAAGAATTCTTCGTCTGAACAAAAAGCAGTGATGTAGTTTGAAGTTATATATACAATGAACAAGAACTCGAAAAAGTATAGAATGAAAATCGAAGTAATTCGGTGCCAAACGAACTAAATTATCTCCAAGTTACCAGTTTGAATTTGCTACTCCAATGTGATTTGGCAGACAAAAGTTAACACGTTTTTTCTTGTTCGGTGCTCTTCAATTACCCATTGCCTCCCTTACATGCCAGCCAACCAAGATGGAGCTCCTGTTCATAACACCATTTAATACCAAAAAAATTCGTTAAGATGAAATCTCGACGTAACGAAGTATCATTCTTTCATATTTAATTCAAACAAGCGTAGTCATTTCTATGTTTTTTTTACTTACATTATATTAATTATTATTGTATTTGCGACATTTAAAAAAATATTTTTATGATTTTAAAAATTCAACTACTCCCAATATTTATAGACTTTTATTAACTACAAAAATTATTTACAAGATTTTATCCAACCAACGTTAAAACCCAATTTTAATTTTCTAGAAACCACCGTGAACCAAATTATTATTATAGCCATTATGTATTAATTTGTTATTCACGTATCAGTAAAAGGGTGATTTTATTCAAAAACAATTTTAATCTTAGATTTTTTTGTTTCCATACTATGAATGCATTTTGTTATCTATCTTATTATTATTATTATTAATTCAATAAATTCTTTTGAAATATATATATACATCTCGTTCTTCCTTCAACAATTTCTGATCTCTAGTGAGACCATCTCTCAGGGAAAAAAGAATGAATGGATCTTGTAGGATTCCAGAGAAATTCTTCGATTTCTTCCAAAAGCGGATGATTATTCATCTGCTTCTGACGTTCTATGAATAGCTGGGACATTGAGCAATATCGAAAGAAAGTATTTAGGGAATCGGTCTGATTCTATCTCTCTTCGTTACATTTGAAGAAAGGAAGTATCCCATTAATCATTTATAAAAAAGTGAGAAGGGTAGGAAAAAGGTGGGAAATTGAGATGAAATGATGGGGGAAGAAGGTTTGAGAAGAGAAGATTATGGAGAATTAGGTGTTTTGATGTAAAAGTGGAAATGGGTTTGTCTCAAAATTCAAACTTTTTCATTGTATAAATTACCCATCTCTTCCTTCATCATCTCTATTAATCAACTCTCTTCTTGCACATCCAATGCCGCTACTACTACTACCTCCATCCTTCATTTGGGCCACTTCCATCCTTCTTTGTGGCCTCCTCTCGCCCACCCTTGGCGTTGGTGGGGCTGCACATCCTCCCTTTAACTACAGCGATGCGCTGGACAAGGCCGTGCTGTTCTTTGAGGGGCAGAGGTCAGGCAAGTTACCTGTTGCTCAACGAGTCATGTGGCGCGGTGACTCTGCCCTCTCTGACGGAGCCCATGAGAATGTATGACAAAACTAGCACACCATGTCAAGTTGTAAGAATATTAATTGTAAGAATATTGAGTTAAATTTTTGCAGGTGAATTTGGTGGGAGGTTACTACGATGCCGGAGACAACGTCAAGTTCGTGTGGCCGATGGCGTTTACGGTGACATTGTTGAGTTGGACCGCCGTTGAATATGAAAATGAGATGGGTTCTGTGATGCAACTACAACACCTCCGGGGATCCGTCCGGTGGGGCGCCGATTTCATATTGCAAGCTCATGTTTCACCCACCACACTCTATACTCAGGTTTTCATATTATTTCCTATTAATATATATTTCCTTAAAACATCTTATTTTCATTTATTGTTTATATATTTATATTTATAACGTCACCATTTCAATATTTTCATGCATGCTTACATTTTTTTTTAATATATGATCTTTTAATCAATGATACATGTTATATATCAGATGAGATATGTTTACATTGTCAAAAATAGAATGAGATCCGGTCAGTTGGTTGGAGATGAGAATGAAACATTTTTTATAAGGGTTAGAAAACATCTCCCGTTTTAAAACTTTGAGGAGAAGCTCAAAAGAAAAAATTCAAAAACGACAATATCTACTGGCGATGAGTTTGGATGGCTATAAATGATATCAAAGCCAGACACGGGGCGATGTGTCAGCAAAGAGGCTAAGTCTTGAAGGGGGTGTTTGGATGCCTACAAATGATATCAAAGCTAGACATCTGAGAATGTACCAATAAGGAGGTTAAGCCTTGAAAGGGTGTTTGGACAGCTACAAATGATATCAAAGCTGGACACCGGGCGATGTGCCAACAAGAAAGCTGAGCCTTAAAGGGAGTGTTTGGACGGCTATAAATGATATCAATGCTGGATACTGGGTGATGTGTGAGCAGGGAGGCTAAATCTTGATGGAGGTGTACATCTTTGGCCAACCGACACATTTTAAAAATATTGAGAGGAAATTTGAAAAGTCAAAAAAGATAATTTATTACATTAAAATTTTGTCACGTTGATCATTAATATAAATTCAAAATTTATAGGAAAGTTTTAATCTAATCACCATTGGTGAAAATTTCAAAAATTATTCCAAGAGGGATTAAAATTATAATTTTAGGAAAAAAAAAAACACAAAAGGGTAGAAATATATTCCAAATTTGAAAATTAAAAAGACGTGAAATATATTTGCACAGGTAGGAGATGCAAATGGCGATCATAGGTGCTGGGAGCGGCCGGAGGACATGGACACTCCTCGAACGCTGTACAAGATAACGCCTACTTCGCCAGGCAGCGAAGCCGCTGCGGAGGCCGCCGCTGCGCTTGCGGGCGCTTCCATTGTGTTCAGCCATGTGGATGCCAATTACTCAAGAACCCTTCTTCAACGCTCCATATCTGTGAGAACTATTTTTAGTTTGTTTCTTTTATGTGGTCAACTTATAGAATGGTGTGAAACGTGGTCGTTTTGATGGCAGCTCTTTCAGTTTGCTGATGAGTTTAGAGGATCCTACTCTGCTTCTTGCCCATTTTACTGTTCCTTTTCTGGGTACCAGGTGATTAATTCATGATGTGTAAACAACATTGTTTAAGCCGTAGTTATTAGCTAATCCTTTTCCCTTGTCTTGTTCTTGTAGGATGAGCTGCTGTGGGCAGCTGCTTGGCTATACAAGGCAACTGGAAATAACAATTACTTGAGCTATGTTGTAAGCAATCAAGGGTGGAGTCAGGCTGTCTCTGAGTTCAGTTGGGACAACAAATTTGTTGGAGCTCAGACACTCTTAGCAAAGGTCTTTGCCAATACAATTTTATCAACAAAAATAGCTTTTTCTGAAACTTATGCGGTAGCGAGAGGTTTCTCTTCTCGGATCGATATGGGGCCTCAAAATCTACCCCTTTTGGGGCCAGCCTTCTTGTTTGCCACTCGTTCCTTCCCTTTGGGGCCAACTTTCTCACTAACACACCGCTCTGTGTCCACTCCCTTTAAGGCCCAGTGTCCTCGTTGACACACTGCTTAGTGTCCATCCCCTTCAAAGTCCAACATCCTCGCTGGCATACTGCTCGGTGTCTACCTTCTTTGGGGCTCAACGTCCTCGCTGGGGCACACCACCCAATGTCCACCCCCTTATGAGGCCCAACGCCCTCATTAGGGCACATTACCCAATGTCCACCCCCATCTGAGGTCCAACGCCCTCATTAGGGCACATTGCTTAGTGTCCACCCCTTTTGGAGACCAGCGTCCTCGCTGACATACCACTCATTGTCCACCCCCTTCAGGGCTGTATCCTCACTGGCACACATTGTCCAGTGTCCACTCCCTTCAATGCCCAACTTTCTCGTTGGTGGCACACATTGCCCAATGTCCACTCCCTTGAGGGCCCAACATCCTCGTTGGTGGTACACCGTTTGGTGTTTGGCTCTGATACCATTGGTAAGTCCATGACTAGTAAAGTCTTTTTTAGGCTTACTATCAAGGTTTTTAAAACGATCTACTAAGGAGAGGTTTCCACGTTCTTATAAAGAATGATTCCTTCCCTTGTCAGATCTAAAAAATAGTGTGCATTTTTAACCATATATATATATATATAGAGAGAGAGGAATTTCACTTTATTCTAACCACCTCAGGAATTCTATAAAGGAAAGAGAGAATTGAGCAAGTTTAAGAGCGATATAGAATCGTTCATCTGTGCAGTGATGCCCAACAGTGGCTCTTCTCAGATTCCTACAACGCCTGGTACAATCACACACCTTTCTTCCATGAAAATACATATATATATAATATCAGCTTTTGTGCCTCTTGTTTTATAGGTGGGCTTCTTTTCATAAGAGATAGCACCAATTTGCAATATGCATCAACCTCTTCCATGGTGCTTTTCATGTACTCTAAACTCCTAAACCAAGCCCACATCGATGGAGTTCATTGCAGATCCATATATTTCTCCTCTTCTCAAATCAAAATCTTCGCAAAATCCCAAGTAATTAAGTTCACTGATTCATTTGCAGCAAACCCAAGTTCATAATTTAATCATAAACTCTGTTCTATATAGGTGGATTACATATTGGGGGAAAACCCCTTGAAGATGTCATACATGGTGGGATTCGGCAGCAAATACCCATTGAAGTTACATCACAGAGCCTCATCCATCCCTTCAATTAAAGCTCATCTGTCCAAGGTTGGGTGCAGCCATGGCTACTCGGAGTACTTCAATTCAAACAATCCAAACCCGAATATACACGTTGGTGCCATAGTGGGAGGCCCTAATTCAAACGACCAATTCAGTGATATGAGACCCGACCACACTCATTCTGAGCCTACTACTTATATGAACGCTGCGTTTGTTGGCTCAGTGGCTGCATTGGTTGCATAACCCTCTCCTGTTTGATTGTCATACAAAAACACACTACAATCTATTGGGTTATATGGATTTCTCGTGTATTTATAACATTATGAAATAAAGATTTATTTTTTATTTTTTTTTGAGGTCATGTAATAATGAAATTGTCGGCCTAAAATGTCTGTTTTGGGTTATATGGATGTATGTTTTGGCTTGCTACGTATAGTTGTCAACCTCACAGTTTTGAAATGCGCCTGTTACGAGTCGTTAGAACATGCTAGCATGCGAGCATATCTTGTTAGAAAATGTATGTTGAAGACTTTGGAACGACGATTTGGGATGGTCAGAAAATGCATGTTAAGGATTTTAAGAGGGCGATGTTGGATGTATGTTATGGTAAAATTACCATTGTGCCCCTGGGTTGAGATTTCCTTGTTTTGTGTATTATGCACGATAATCTTATGCTGTAGTTATTAAAGTTATATTTAAAGACTTTGAAAGGAGGATTTGGGATGGTTAGAAAATACATGTTAAGGATTTCAAGAGGGGATGTTGGATGTACGTTATGGTAAAATTACCATTGTGCCCCTGGATTGAGATTTCCAAAAACTACGTTGTTTTGTGCATTATGCAAGATAATCTTATCTATAGTTATTAAAATTATATTTAAAGACTTTAGAACGACCATTTGAGATGGTTAGAAAATGCTTGTTAAAGATTTAAAGAGGGCGACGTTGGATGTATGTTAGGGTAAAATTACCCTTATGCCCTTGGGTTGAGATTTTAAGAAACTACGTTGTTTTGTGTATTAGGCAACAGAATCTTATACTGGAGTTATTAAAATTATATTTAAAAAAATGGTAATAATAAGAATTATTTATTTATTTTTACTCTCTATGGAGCATTCTTAATTTGAAGCTTCTCTTGCCAATTAAGACATTATAAATGTTGGAGGGAACGGAAGTGCTTGTAGAATGGAGACGACGGGTTTATTCAAATCCTCCATGAGATTTTTCTCCGATCAAGAGCTCTGCTACGCCGATATCCTCACTCCTCAAGAGGTATGATTTTCGCTTCATCATCATCATCTTCTATGATCTCTGCCCCGTGTTCTTTCATCTCAAGTATTGATTTCGAATAGGTCCTTGCGAGAATTCAAGTTGCGGTCCTCAATTTCCTCAGAATTCTCAGTTCCTCTACTCCTGCCATCTCAAATCTTCCTCTGGTACAATTTCTAACTAACAAACGAGACGGTATGAAGTGTATGAACTTCGAGTTCTAGATCTTTCCGCTTTTACAATCGGATGCTATTTTCTGTTACTACTACTAAGACGGGAATAGTATACCGATTGGATAGATTGATCGAAGTTCGAGCAACAGCCGAGTTAATCAAGGAATTTTAACCGATGAATCTTGGATTTTCCTTTCGCACTCCTTTTGTACGCGGTCTTTGATGAGAGCCAATGCTGCCAAGGCCTTTGTTAGAGGTATTGTAAACCAAACCTAATCTTCGACGGTCAGATTTTTGTAATGAAAGTTTTGTTAGCCTCTGTTTTGGTCTCTTTCCATTTTTTCCCTATTTTGTGGTGCAGTATGGAAGCTGATGGAGATGTGTTCTCAGATTTTGCTTCAGGAAAAGCGAGTGACGCAGAGGGAGCTCTTCTACAAGCTGTTCTGTGATTCACCTGCTTATTTCCCCACTCAGTTGCATGTCAATAGAACAATTCAAGGTGATGTTGTTCAACAAACAAAAACTGACTTGTTTAACACCTAAAACTGCATCGAACATGGTGACCAAATCTTAGTAGTTTTATTGCAGATGTTGTAGCATTACTTCGATGCAGCCGTTTCAGCCTTGGAGTCATGGCATCTAGCAGGGGACTTGTCGCCGGCCGTCTTTTGCTTCAGGCACATTGTTCTGTTTATAAATTTGGCTATTTACACAATATGCATGAAATGGAAATTCGCTTATATAGTGCATTGAGTCCCTCTTGTTCTGCTTTCACATGACAAATACATCGAAAATCCTTGAAATCAGGCAACTGATAATGCATGTATAGTTCTATTTCTTGGTATCTGGACAACGCGCACTTCTAAGGTTTCTTCTATTGAACCAAATTCTTGCATATCGAATCCTTTCTGAACAATTTCAATTGCTGTAGGAGCCAGAACAAGAAACTGTGGACTGCGCTGCCTGTGGTACTTCTGGATATGCCATTTCTGGTGACTTGGACCTGCTGCAGAAGCTGACTCTGAAGACTGATGCTCGGTATGTAATTGTCATCGAAAAGGTAATTTCAGTTTCATAAATTATGACTTGCTCATCAACTATGATTTTGAAGGCAATAATGTGGGAATTTAATGAATCATAAGTCGTGAACATGTGTCAACTGTCAAACATTATCGGTTATACAGCATGCCATCTTCCAGCGGCTGGCGGAGGATCGAGTTTTCAATCACATTCCCAGTATTCTTATCACTGCCAAAGGATATCCAGACATGGCAACAAGGTAAGTTTGTTCAACTAGTTCCGAAGATTGCAGTATTCTTATCAATCCCTTCTTGGCAGGCACGACCAGAACTTATGAACTAACTACCCCTTCTCAGGTATTTTCTTCACAGAATCAGCAAAACGTTTCCCCACCTGCCAATTTTCGGCCTTGTTGATTGGTATGATCCTCTTTAACATCAACTCAGCAACAGATTGTAGAATTATCTTCTCATGCTTAGCTTCTGGGGTTCTTAAGGAACCCTGCTGGGTTGGCTATATTATGTACCTTCAAGTATGGAAGTATCGGGATGGGCTTAGAGGCATACAGATACGGTACGTCTCAGTCGTTTGATTGCCCCATCCATTTCTGATTTCATATCATAAAGCTGAAGAATCTGTTTACTTTACCAGCTTGCAATGTCAAATGGCTAGGCATGCGAGGAGACGATGTACAACTTATACCACAAGAATCTTTGGTTTCACTCAAGCCCCGGGACCTACAAATTGCCAAAAGCTTGATGTCCTCGGAAATATTACAGGTATCGTATAACAATCCACACCTATTGATGCTTTGGGCTTTCTAGGTTACCAAAATCTAAGACTATTTAAACCCCAACAGGAGAATTATCGAGAAGAGCTGACCTTGATGGTTGAGGGAGGGCAAAAGGCCGAACTTGAAGCTTTGTACCACAATGGATTTGATTACTTGGAGAAGTACCTAGTTAAAAAGATTATTCAATTTAATTACATCTGACATGATTTTCAATCTACTTTAGTAGATACAAATAAAGGCCTGTTCGGATACTTTCCAAGAAGCATACGAAATTTAATTGTAACTTGTAGCAGCCAAATTTTGATATAAATCAGAATCCAACACCATAATCTAGAGAGCGTTACTAATACAAATATTAAATCTTTCTATCATGGCCTCTGCCTACTTATAATCAGCCGTAGGTTGAGACTAAAGAAATAAATCGTAGAAGGAACAAAATTCAGTTTAAAAAAAGTTGCCACACGAGAGCTCGATATAATATTTGTCCTCTAATCTCTCTGCAATATACATCGCCACAGGTATTGCGTACTACACTACAAAATTGTCAACTACTCCTTTGACCGCAGAGTTACTCTTTTCCCTTCTACCAAAAACTTCCCACTGCTCTCAAGCTGCAACCACAAAAATGAAAAATAAAACCAATTGCCATCGAGGAATTTTTATATTCCGATGAAGCTTTTGTTGAAAATAATGAAATAAATCCCATGCTTCCATGGAAGAAAATGGAAAAGAAAAAGAAAACGGGCCTTGCCCAACATGGGAGATTAAACGAAGGCCTAGCCTTTGAGTTCAATTGCTTGCTTACAACAGGCGTGCGGTGCTTGTGGTATGGTAATATATGAGGCTAGAATGATACCTTCTGTTTCAAGTAAGCAAGAGCATCTTTCCTGGAAGAACAGTTGGCAAAAACAGAAGCGGAGCGTTCATCAATGAAAGATTTCAGCTGTTTCAGCTTTAAACATTCTCCAGGTGCCTACAATGATAAGAACCAATATAGTGATGCCTTTAGAGAAACATATAAACCATAAAAGAACAGCTCGTAGCTACTGGTAACATACTTGGCCAAGAATTGTTTTACACAATTTTCTCAACTTCACTTTCTCCTGCCCGTCAGATTTTTGTGTGCTGAAGGAGTCATCATACTTCCGTTTCATGGGAGGAGGGGCGGCATCACCAGAGTCTTCGTCGTCACTTTCATCAAAGGAAGTCTTTTTCCCCTCAAAGTAGCAGCCAGCTATTTTCTTTGGTCTACTCTTAATACCCAGTCCTTGCTTTCCTGTTGTGGATTTATCCTACAAATTTCAAAAATGGAAAAATTATTAGGTATCATTTGTGAAAGAATGCAAAACCCAGGAACAAAAGACGGATACTGTTACGTCATTTTACTCGAATATTATTCCCCAAAACCTGCATGGCCAAAGCATATGTCTTGGGTTCGACTTGACAACCCAATATGATTTCCCACCAGGTAGGAGTGCATACACTACATCTGACTTGACAAAGGGGCTGGATGGCAGCAGAAGCTATCAGCATTCCATGGTGTCACAACCATACTAGAAAGAGTAGGTTGTGACCCCCACAATCGTAATCAAGAAAAAATAGGAAACATGCGATTGACATCCATAGGACCACGTCAAGGGACAAGAGAGAAGTGCTGTAATGCGACTAAGGATGATAGTGCATTGAATTTATATCAAATAGATTCATTAATTTTAAAAAAGGTTGAAAATTGATGTGCAAATAAAAAAAATACCTTCAATAAACACTGATTACAAAAATTCATAAAACAAAATTTAAAGATGGACATACTTGAACAAGCTTGTATAGATTCTCTTGATCATCTTCATGAAAGGCAGTTCTCTCATTATTGGTTTGAAGGGATTTTCTTCGTTTAGATTCCGCACCCAAAAATCCTCCAGAAATGAAGCCATATTTATAGCCCCACCAATCAGGAGAAATGGTGACTGTGTTTTCTGTAAAGACGAGTAAGTACATTCAGAATATGGTCTGTTTCTTTTTTCAAGATAAAAGACGGGAAAGAAAGAAAGAACCCAAGTAATTTGAGAAACTTGGACACTTGCCCCTTGAGCAAGCTTAAGTCACCCCCACCTCCAACACAAAACCACCAACTACTACTTAATTTTAACAAGGGGACTGGCTAATCTAAAATATATACAATATAAATATTTGAAATTTTAAAAAATTTAACGGCAAAGCACTTGATTCCTAACCTAGAATCAGAACCAAACAAGCAAAAAAAAAATGGAAGGATTGTAAGTGATAATTGACAATTGCCCAAGGACAAAAAGTTGTAAGTAATAATTCATAATTGAGTAAGGAAAAAAAAGTTATCCCATAAAATTAATCGAGGTGTATGTAAGTAATTGACCCCTTTCACTTCTGAAGCCAAGAGATCGGTGCACAAAAATGTCCTCAAAGAGAATGTTTTGAAACATTGCGAGGGCACCCAGGCATATAGTATCCACTGCTAGAGGTTGTGTAATAGTCGTTGACTCATTTCTCACCTAGTTTATTAGGTTATTGAGTCCATTAAACAAGCATATTGTAATAGGTCGCCGACTCATTTCTCACTTGGATTACAGGTCCTTGACTCACTTCTTGCTTGGTTTAATAGTACATTCGTTAAAATTGGAATGCTTTTATATTTCCATTGTATTTTTTTCCCATTTTGTTTCATTTCACTCCGTTTGGAATTTTGTATCCTTGAGCATTAGTTGATTTATCTCTCGTTAAAAAGAAAAAGAAAATGCTTAGACTCGGAAAAGACCAAACAGAGGTTACAATTACAGGAGACAAATAATAGTGTATCTAGGTTGAATTCCTCACTCCCCCACTCCCCTCAAAAAAAAAAAAAAAAAAAAAAAAAAAAAAAAAAAAAAAAAAAAAAAAAAAAAA